TGCCTCCTGGCTGGCTGCTGCCGGAGCTTCGTTCTTCTGAGTCGGGCAGTTGTTCTCAGGCCGCTGCTCCGTTCAGGCCCCGCTCCAGGTGCTGGGGACAGACAGACCAGTGACCTGTTCTCCCTGGGGACAGGGGCTGCCCCCGCAGTAAGAACGGTGGCATGCAGTGGGTCCTGGTGTGCAGGGCCGCAGAGAAGGGCTTGGGAGCGCGTGGGGACTAGGGGTCAGTTTCCTATGGCTCAGGTGGGTTTCCTCCGGAAGGCGGCACTTGAACAAAGACCCCCAGGGAGGAGAGGAGCGCTTTGGGACTGGAGTTGTGTCCCTGCGGGGTGGAGGGCCAGTCCGTGCGGAGTGGCCGCCTGGAGCGGCCTCCTGGTTTGCAGGATTTCCAGAGTCACCTGGTGGGCTTCCTGGGGAGGCCTCTCACTGGTAGGTAGGAGGGGGCTCAGCCCTGTAGATCGTCTGCACCCCCTGGCTGGGTCGTGGTCCGGGGGCTCAGCTCTGTAGGCGCCTGTGCCCCCTGGCTGGGCCGTGGTCCGGGGGCTCAGCCCTGTAGGCATCTGCGCCCCCTGGCTGGGCCGTGGTCCGGGGGCTCAGCCCTGTAGACGTCCGTGCCCCCTGGCTGGGCCGTCTGTGGTCCAGGGGCACCCCGAGCAGTGGCCGGGATAGCAGGGTTCCTGCCTGAGCTTGGGGGCCTTTGGAGTGGGTGGAAGGCGGCCTTTCCTAGGTCCCTGCGCCTCCTGGCTGGCCCTCCTCCTCCACCAGCCGTCTTCCTGGCTGCCCGGATTGCACCCTCCTCCCTGGCCGAATGACCTGCCAGCAGCCGTGGCTGCCTGAGGGTGGTGAAAGGGCTTTTTGTCTGCAGGCTCTTAGCCTCCCTCCTGCTCTCCGTCAGGGCCAGGCTGATGGGGGAGGGCTGGGACCCTTCTTCCAGGAGCCGCCTTGGCAGACACAAGGCCTGTCTCCAGGCCGTGGAGCGCAGAGCGGGGCTGTTGGGGACCCTGAGGCAGGCTGGTGCCCTGACCTCTCCCAGAGGACAAGGTGTTGCCAAGACCTCAGGGCTCCATGAGGACTTTCTGGGACCCTCCTTGACCTGGGGAGGCCAGGTAGGGCGGGAGGGGGACCTGACAGCGCAGCCGCACCCCCGCCCCTTCGGAGCACTTCATCCTCAGAGCCATCTCAGGAGAGGGGCCGTCACTGTGTAGATGGACAGGCACTGGGAGGCCAGCTCCTCACGGCTGTGCCGGCGGGGGTGCTCACAGGGGAGCCCCGGAAGTGGGTCCATCTGGCGCTTTCTTCAGCTGCAAGTGGGGTGCGGGGGTTGGTGTCTGTGGGGCCAACTTTGGGGCGGGGGAGCACACGTGATGGGGGCTAGTGCGGCCGCCTCCACATACCTGGGGGAAGCTGTCCCATCTGCAGTGGACATGTGGCCAGGTGTGTGGGAAGTTCCAGGGGCTTGGCCAGGGTGGCCCCTCTCCAGGGATCTGTGCTCCACCCAGGCAGTGGGGGCCTGGATTTGTCCCCAGCTCGGAGATCCTGGGCCTCCCTAGGTGGGAGGAGAGCACAGGTGTCCCCTCCCTCGCTGCAGGGCACCCCTCCCCAGGATGTGCAGCTCTGGGCACGCGCCCGCTCCTCCCCCTCCTTTTCCTCTTCCCTTTCCTCTCTCCTCCTTCCCTCCCTCCCTTCTCCCCACAGGCCACCCTCGAATGACAGCAATTAATGGTGCCTGTGATGGGCTGAGAGGAGGAGGCTGACAGTGGAGCTGTCTGCCTGTGGCCGGTGCTAATCGGCTGGAGATGCCCCTCCTCCGTGGCCCCATCACTCACAAGGTCACCAGCACTCCGCTCCTCACGGTACCGTCCCCCTTCCCTGCCCCAGTGAGTGCTTGTGCCTGGCCGGAGCCCCCAGGAGCCCCAGCTCCTGTCCTGACGTGACCTCTCAGGGTGCACTTGTGCTGCCCTCAGGGCCAGCCTCAACCCGCGGCACCCACATCCTTTTGTCTCGGCCTTCCTGGAAGGGCTGGGTTGGCGGCGTCCAGGAACCTTGTCCTGCCTCGACTGCAAGCTGCCTGACCTGGAATGGGGCCGCTCTCTGAGCCTGGGGACCTGTCTGGTGGCGGGGGGATTCTTGTGTTTGTCAGGGTTATGAGAACCCTGGCCCGTCCTGTCCGAGCTGGGCTGGGCACTCGCCGGGTTCATGTAGAATACCAGGCCCCTGCCGCCAGGTCGCCAGGCCTCCACGTGGTTCCTCATGGCAGTCCTTGAGGCCTGGGGTGTTTACCACCTGCCTTACCTGTGGGACAGTGAGGGCGAGACTGGCCCTGAGCGGCCCAGCAAGGGTGACACCCCGGGCATCTCGCTCAGTGTCGAGAAATCAGGGCTTTTGGGAAGCCTGAGGACCTGGCGAGCCTGCTGTGCAGGGGAGCGAGCCCCGGGCACTGGGCTGCAGTCGGCGACATGTACGCCTGTACCCTCGGTCAGTCTCGCGTGCGTCTGGGTGGGTGACGTGTGTGCCGTTCTAGTTGGTAGTACACTCACGTGTGTAGATCAGAGTTAGTCGCGTGCAGGTACTTACTGTGTTACACTGAGAAAAAATACAGGACAGACACGGCCTTACCGAGATCTGACCAGCCTGCAGTACGGTGCAGCCACTCCAGAGGCTCAGTTCTGTGCATTTGGGATACATCCATATCCGAGTAACCACCACAGCCGGGGTGCAGTGTCTCCATCGCCCTGAAAGTGCTTGTCAGTTCCTCTGCAGTGAATCCCGCCCCAGAAGTACCCCCCCGATCTGCTCTCTGTAGAAGCTCTGGAACCTTCTAGAGTTTGGTAATATAGTTAGCACCGAGTATGGCCCTGGTCTGGCTCCTTTCATGCCTAATGGTTCTGAGCGTCATCGGTGCTGGTGCGTGTGTCAGTGGTTCGTCTGTCTTGCTGCTGAGTAACACTCCGTCGTGTGAAGGCGTGTAGTCTGCTCATGGGTGGGCGCTGGGGTTGTCTAGTGCTTGGCTATCGTGAACACAGCTGTTCTGGACACTCTTGTCGTTTTGTGAAATCTTGTTCCCCTTCTCTTGGGTAGATATCAAGGAGTGAGTTGTTAGGTCACATGGTAAGTGGCTATTTTACTTTATAAGAAACTGCCCACCTGTTTTCTAAAGAGGCTTTCCCTGGCCCGGTAAGGGAGATAGGTTTCACATGGCCGACCCCAGTGGTTTGAATCC